CTCCTCCTCCTCCTCCTCCTCCTCCTCCTCCTCCTCCTCCTCCTCCTCCTCCTCCTCCTCCTCCTCCTCCTCCTCCTCCTCCTCCTCTTCCTCCTCCTCCTCCTCCTCCTCCTCCTCCTCCTCCTCCTCCTCATGCTCATCCTCCTCCTCCTCCTCTTCCACATCATCATCAGCATCAGCATCATCAGCATCATCATCAACATCATCATCATCATCATCATCATCATCATCATCAGCAGCATCAGCATCATCAGCATCATCAGCATCATCAGCAGCATCAGCATCATCATCAGCAGCAGCATCAGAATCAGCATCATCATCATCATCATCATCATCATCATCATCATCAAGCCTCCTCCCCAATGGCCACGACAGGTGGTGAGCCCAGAGGCACCTCAGACACCTCCTGTCTGGCGACTGGGAGCCGCTGCCAGCACTCTTGCCCCACGACCGCGGCGCTATTCGAACAGTCCTAGTCGCGACCGAGCGGTGCGTCGAGCACTCGCCTCGTGACCGAGCGGCGCGGCGGGCCGCCCTGCTTAGTGACAATGCTGCGCGTCGAGTAGTTTTGCTGCGCGATCGAGACGCTCGTCGGACAGTCCTGTTTCGCGGCCGAGGGGCCTGTCGGGCGCTTGCTTCTTCACCGAGAGGCGCGTCGGACATTCTTGATTCGCATCCCGGATTCGCACCGTGCGGCGAGGACCTTGCAAAGAAGCGCGAATCGAGCCATAACCACGTATGAAGATAGCGCGGGTACATGCTTCCAAGCAATTGGGTGTTGGTGGACGATGCGCGGAGACCTACTTCAGAGTTCGATGGCTTGCTGGTCTACCCGTACATTTACACTGGGCATGTTCACACGCTCGCTTGAGGTACGAAATATTATCCGCGGGGCAGGGGGGCCCACGAAAGCCGCCTTTTGATGGCGATTTGCAGTCTGGGCAGACCTCCGAGGAGTTATGCTCTCTGTCTTGCGTCCTCGCTCCTCCTTTCTGGCCACCAACATGCTGCAACGAGCGAAATTGTTCCCACTGGTGGTCTGTCCCCCTCTTCCTCCTCATCTTTCCTCCTCCTCATTATCCTCCTTTTCCTCCTCCTCTTTCTCCTTAAAGCGCATTATGGTTCAGGCCCCGCCTGGTCAGTTTCACCTTGTGCTGGATCATGTGTGTGATCGCTTGAGCGCCGCCGCTGGCGGTGAAAGCAAGGTACACTTCGCATTCCAAGCTGTGGTGCCGATGTCGCTTGTTCCTCCAGCTGTTCCTGCTGGTGGCGTTGGGTGGCTCACGGGCAACGCGAGCTGGCTTTCTGGAGGGTCTGGTTGGCCGCCCCAGTGGCAATGGCATCAAGGAGGACCACCGTGGTGCTGCACATCTTGTGGGTGCCAGGAAAAAACCAAAGCAGCTGGTGGTTATGCAAGCAGTGCAAGGCTCCACGGCCACAACTTCCTGCAGGTTCTTCCCCTCTTGCTCCAGGAGGTGTCTGGGGCCAAGGAGGCCATGGCAACCAACTCCCTCTACGTGCTGGTCCGCAGTTCATGGGACAGGCATCACCTCCTTCGGGCTCGCCCACAGCTCAGACGGGAGAACCATTCATCGTAGAGCTGGAGCAGCTCATCGCCCTCCTCGAGAAGTGCGGGGACACCGACGACGCCTCCAGGCAGGAAGGTGTGATCGCTGCTCGCGTGAAGGCGTTGGAGACCGAGGTTCCACTCAGCCAGCAAGCCAATCGTGATATCCAGGAACTTCGTATATGCAGGGACCGTTGTGACAAGGCTTGTTCGGTATTTGAACGCATGGCTCAGGACATCGCTGCTCAACAAGGTAAGGTTCGGGAATGGTGTGTCAAGTTGGCCCTGGCGGAGTCCGAACAGGACCTGGTCGTCCGCCCCAGCGCCTGGGCGCGCAAGAGTACGGGCCGCATCGACGCCAAGAACACCTTGGAGGGCAACTTCCAGGACATCCCCATCAGCGTCGAATCGCTGCTGGACCCCGCAATCTCTCACTATGAGATTTCCCAGTCGGACAAAGAGGAGATTGACCACCGTCTCAGCAAGCTCAAGGAGGCGCCCCAGAAGTCCACCAAGGAGGCATTCGGCTGCGTCGCTGAGCAGGTCGAGCTTTTCCAAGAGCAGCATGCGACGGAGGTCAAGCGGATGGCGGGCAAGCGTCGTCGTGTTCGCGAAGGTGGTGCTCCACTTGGTGAGCCCTCTGCTGCCGACGCGTCCACTGCCGACGGGGCCGCCAAGCCCCCGACCGATGGCGACGAGAAGTCGGGGGAGGCGTCGGCCTCTTCATCAGCGTCGTCGGGAGCTACGGGGTCTATTGGGTCACCACCTGAGGCTTTGCCTTCTGCTACTGAGCGCGCTGCCAGGATTTCACACGCACACACACACACACACACACACACACACACACACACACGCCGCTGCCGCTTCTGCTGGGGAGCAGCCCAGCAGGGGAGACACTACCACTCAAGGATAATATGACACCGTCTTCTTGGCCGGCGGACTGGAGGTCCCATCGGGGCCCCGACCCAAACCTCCACCTTGGGCCTGCTCCTCGGGCCGTTCAATGCCCCCCTCCTCCCGAGGGGAACCCCGCTCTCTCTGCGAACAGCCGTGCTCGTTCAAGTTTTGGCGCCACCCCATCTAGACGGGCCCACGTGTCCCTGGGATGCGATGTTACTGCCGGGGCGTTTGATGACCCCGACATCCTTCTCCCCGCGCGCTGGCGGCCGAGTGCGAAGCCGGGCGACGCGGTGGAAGATGCGAGTTTCGTTGGGCCTCGAGCTCGATGCCCAGCCAAGTCGTCGTTCCAGGCCCACCTCAGCGCCCTCCACGACAGGGTCCGAAGGATCTCGCGCAAGGGCCCCAAGGGCCATCAGGTCTGCCAGGGGCCCCTTTTCGGTTGCCCCTCATTTGGTTTCTGAAGGCTCGGCCGCGCCGTCAGCGACTCCGCGCCACGGCCCCATTTGCGCTTTCTAGCTCGGTGCCCCAGGAGGCCCAACAAGTTGTCATATCCCTTCAGACTATGTTGCGTAAAGCGCCTCGGATGCCCGCCGAGCTTTTTTGGCTCTCCTGGCCCATCCCCCCTTGCCCCCTTGAGGCTAGGCGGGGGCCCCCGAGGTGAGTTCGCTCCGCTGGTGGAAGCTCGCAAACTCTCGGGATGGGAAAGCGCGCAGTCCTGGCTACTACTTACGGAGGAGGAAATTGTTCTTCTGCACGACACCATTTGCACGCAGATTGCACCCCATCTGCCAGCTCGCGGCGCGCACGCAACGGTTGGAAGCCCACGCGCTTGCCAGCAGGTCGAGGCCCTGAAGGCGGTCTGGATGCAGGCGTGGCGGTGCCTGTTAGATCAGGTCTTGGCGCGTGATCCCCCTCCTCGGGGCATGAAGTTTGGCAGCGCCGAGCTGTTGCGGCAGCGGTTCCGCTGCCAGACCAAATCCACGTTTTGTGCGCGAGCATATACCTTCACGACTCGGCGAGGCTCTCGGATGGCAATAGTTCTATCTTGGGCGCTCGCGGTGCCCCTGTCGGCCCCCCGGTGCATCCTGTCATCCTGGGGGGAGATTACAACTTGGAGGCTGGCCTGATCGTAGCTACTGACGTGGTCGCTCGCACCGAAGGTCAATGGATTCTTCCCGACGGCCACGCTTGCACTGGCATTGGAGGAGCCAAGACATGCGATTCTGATTGCGTTAGCGCTGGATTGTGCAAAGGCGCGCCGGGTGTCAAGGTCATTCGCGATAGTGATATCTCGCCTCACTTCCCTGTCTAGGTTCAGTTCTACCCTCGGCCATCTACCATCAAGGCTTCGAAGTTCAGCAGGCCCCCTCCCGCCCTCCACCAGCCCCTCCCTGCGCGCGTTGTGGCCCCGTGGTCTGCGCGTTTGTTTGGGGGCCTTTCGTCTCGGGGACGCGGCCTCCACGTCGGCTGGCGCGGGGGCTTCGTCGCCGCGCTGGGCGCGCTCGATAAACTGCATCGCCCATGGGCCGATTTGGCCGATGGGGGCGCCGTTGTCCGCCGCGGGCGCAGACGCACATTTCAGGGGGCCAGGGAGCGAGGCCCTCGGCAGGTCTGAAAAGACATCCTTGACAAGGACACCGATTTGCCGAAGCAGCCTGCTCTGTTATCCATACCGCTGGTTGCACATTTTCTTCGCTCTCTTTAAGGAATCTAGGACGACTACCATCATGGGCGCCGCGAAGGGCCCCAGACCGTCGTTGCTCTTCGTAGGGCGCGAGCTTCTCTCGGCATTCATGCCTCGGCCCTAGCTGGGATCCTTGCCATTGATTAGTCCAACTACCATTCAGGACTCCTCGGGGTTCTTGGTTCCTGGGTTGCTCACATTGATGGGCAGGGCCCTGATGCCGGGCGCTGCGAGTCGGGGGAGCTTCTTCACGACCAGTTTCTAGGCCTGTTTGCGTCCTTCAAGGACAAGCTTGCTGAAGTGGAGCTTGAGGCACGTCGCGAGGCGTCCAAGGAGTGGAGGGATTGGCTGTTTTATCGCGCGGGTAAAGGGGCCAAGCGCATCCACGAGGTGCTCAGGGGAGCCGCTCCTTGGACGCCCACGACGACCTTGTCATCTGACGGATTCATCGTTGCCGACCCGCTCTCGCTGCTCCGGGCAGAGAGCGAGAAGTTCTCCGACTTGCGGAGGGATGCGCCGAGGGCTCTCTGGCTCCCACATGGAGTGGCCAGCCCACCCCTGCCGAGCCTCACCCCTGACCAGATTCGAGCCGCACCAGGCCTTTTCCAATGGCAACACTGCTGTTTCGGTCGGCGGATTTCACATCAAACATGGCAGTCTCTCAGGGGGTGACCTC